GACTGAAACTCAACCAGATTTCCAAAAGGGACCCTCTAGTGTTATTGTTTGTCCTTACCTTTGGTTGGAGAGCTGGGTGAGTGTGGTAGGGTCATGCGCACATAAGGCATATTTGCTTGTGGAGAAGGTCGTTTCTGTCTCCTTCTCAGCTGCATGCTGCGTAGTCGTCCCATTACATTGCTGTTAAAAAAGAGGATCAGAAACCAGAATGGCAGTTGTTATACATGTACAAATTCAAGTTTTGATGCCTTTTATTTGGAACTAATAGCATACTTTGACAAGCTGCAAATCTTGAAGTGGCAAGTTAGAAATCTGACGTCCTCTAGTGGAGCCTGCTGGGTGGGAACCAGTGACCACTTTGGTATTGTTGTTCCTCTTATTCTTCAGGCTTTGCCTTAGACGGTCCCGTAGTTTCTTTCTCTGCTTCCTGTTTGTGAAGAAACAAACTATTGTGAAGCAGCTCAAATGACAATTGGACAACATATATGAGGGGAATGTCACATTACCAAAAGGTGATAAGATAAGATAAGATAAGATAAAATAAGATAAGATGCAACTTTATTCATCCCAAAGAGAATTCTTGTTGCATACATTTATTCCAAATTTCATCAAGGACTTGACTGTAGTCATGGTAATTTTATATATTTTTTGTAATGTGATCAGGTACAACATACAGTTTGCAATATTGTCATAGTGTCCAAAAGCATTCCAAAATCCCAAAACTTTTTTCAGCTCATTTGGTTTGGCTGAATTTCTGTTTATTGCTCTACAGATGAGTGTGTGCAAAACCCTGCATATGTGTTAATGGTACTATTTTATACAGGCATCAGGAGGAGCTTAGTGCCTGAATGTCTCATGGTCTTCTGCAAATGAATCACAATAAAACTGTTCAAACTGTAAAAAAAATGCAATGTTCAGGTATTCAATCTTGTAATTTCTATTTATAAACATTGTCAAACTTTGATTTTTCGTATCTTTCCAGTGGTTCCTCTTATCTTGCCTATTGGACCACCTGGATTAATGGTTAGGCCAATAAGTATCATGTGTGATTCCAATTAGTTCAGAGCTGAGTAATGACAAATTGACAAACATTTTTTTCTCTGTCTTGATGTAAATAATTATTCACTTGCTCTCTTGTTTTCTTTTTGTCGGCATGTACTTATTGTTTCCTGTGGAACTGTGAAGTATTTTGTACGTTGTGCTTTACTGATTGTACTGTACTGACTACAGATACTTTGAATAACCATCCAGCTCACAGTAGAGAAGATGTGGGGATTTGGGTTCACTATTCTGGCACTATAATATAAAATAAGGGAGAATATCTTCATGTTATGCAGCAAACATAAAATGTGACATTAATTACTTTGTTTTGCAGTAGGCAACCACACACATGAGTCCAACGACTAGGAGTGCAATGCAGATTCCTGTTATTGTTAAAATACGTTTCTGATACAGCTCCTCAGCTTCTGAAAAAGAGGACAACCATTCTTTAAAACATCAGGCCCTAAACACACATAGTCACATACACATGTATACATGCAGACTGTTCTAGACATAAACCCAAACAATAAGAAGTTCTGTAAGAAGGTTTTCACATTTACAGCAACTAATAATCTGTTTGTCATCTGACCATAATTCTCAAAGTACCCAAACATGGTAATTATCACTGACAGTGGGAAAATAAGCAAATTTTGCATAAATATTTTATTTTATTCCTTACAATGGTTTTCAAATCGACTGGTATACCTTATTCTAGCTTCCTGCAGGTGCATTTGAATCAGTGTACAGTATACCAAGGCTCATAGGTAAAAGCCAACAGAAATTACCAAGATACGTTCAGTTAATTTTGAAACGGTTTCTCCTTAAGTTAAAATTCTCTCAGACCCAAATCTAGTCCTGATTGTTCCAAAAAAATAAAATAAAAAACTTGAACCTTGATCTATGATCTAAAAATCTCTCAAAAATCCCTCTCAAAAAATTGCCTGTCCTTTTGCTTGTATATCTTCCACTGTTCATCAGAGCTGTCTGACGAGCACAGAGCATCACATCCATAGTTTTATATGCTGGTGAGTTATGTCTTCCTATTTCAGAATGATTTTACAACATCAGAAGCTGTGATGTACTTCCTTTAACTGCCTGTGATTTACAGCGTAACATAAATCAGTGGTAAAATGGGAGATGGGTGACATGTTTTTTTTTTTTTCAGTCAAGCACAAGCAAATGATTGTATATAATTGTCAATTAATTTCCCAAGAGGGAAATTTTCCCCTGTAGGTAGAAATTGCATAAGAATTTTATAACATTTTGAAAATGTGAGCAGATAAGATGTTCTGCCCTTAGTCTGAGAAGAGGCAAAACTATGTAGAGTTGCTGTAAGGAAGAGAGGATAAAATAAACAGTTTAAAACAGACTGTCTGAAAAAGGTGGAAAGAGATGTGACAGTGATGCTGTACTTGTTTCATGCTGAGCTGAACAGAAATGTACAACATCTCTGTCTTTTACATGTGCCCAAATAAATGGCACTTGTGATATTTGTTAGTTTGCAGATACACCACAGTGCTTTGTCATAAACATTACTGATGCATTGGTGCTGTTTTTTATTTTAAAAATGTGTGTAGAATGTGATATATTCTTTGTTCTGATGGTCAAGACTATAATCCAGTCACAGTCTCACATCTATAAACGAGGGAAAATGAGTAATCAGTAATCCATAAATTCAGTCCCAAGATGTTCTGTCATGGGGGAAAAAAAAGATTTATCGGATGAGGTAATTATTGAAAGCCATGCTGTAAATTGCTATGACAATACAAACACATGCATTAAAAGGTAACATAGGAATCCCACAGCCAAAAACTACAAATATAAGCCAGATCTCTGGTTTCTTATTGTGTTATACTAATCACAGGCTATACTGAGAACTGACACCAACTAAATGAAAATATATTATACACTGACATAACTCTTACAGAAAAAAACTATATAATGTTTCCAGGGTACCGTCTACAGCTCATGTGAAAATATGTCATCGCAGGTGACAACATATTACATGTTGTAATATGGGACAACATGTTACAAACATTTTCACACAAGTTTTATCATAACGTGTTTTAACCTGTGGCATTACAATTACAGATACAGGTGAGCCAGAGTCCAGTGAAGCTTGCATTCACCTTTCCCCACTTTCCCACAAAGCGTCTCTCTCTGTCTTGTAGCTGCCTGCAGGTGCAGCTTGTTGTGTTCCTGGTGTCTTATGTGTTCTACATATTTCCTGTGTGATTTTAACTTGTTTTCACACGTTTAATTCCACATGTAACTTGGGGGGAACAAGGGGTTGTTTCAGAAAGCAGGTTTAACAAACTCTGCATTTAAACCTGAACACTGGATTGAGTAACAGAGTTTTCAGTTTCAGAACAGATGACAACAATTAACTCAATAATCTGACTAAAGTTAACACTGAGTAAAGCATGTCCATAAAGATATAGATAACACAATTCACCATGGTAACAGGAGAAACAAGGCTTGAGAATCCTGTTCAACCTTTGTGACACTAGAAATATTCATGCATGCATGTAAAGATGCATTTACAGAAATGAAATTACTGGGGCTTCCCCACACAGTCCAAAAACATGTTGAGGTTAATTGGTGATTCTAAATTGTCCGTAGGTGTGAATGTGAGTGTGCTTGGTTGTCTGTCTCTAAGTGTGGCCCTGTGATAGACTGGTGACCTGTCCAGGGTGTCCCCTGCCTTCACCCTGAGTCAGCTGGGATAGGCTCCAGCCCCTCTATGACCCTAGTGAGAATTAAGCGGTGTATAGATAATGGATGGATGGATGTTTTTATCTGCGGCTTGTAAATCACTGGTGTCTTGTCTCCCAGTTAGTTTTGTGCATATATGAAGTCCTGCATCTTCTTTTCTACCTGCACATTCCTACTGGCAACTGATTTGATTGTATTCTAACAGAAGAAGGAGAAAGTCAGGCCTTTCATCCAGTGTCACAAGTTGGATATTGTAGCCCTACTGTTTAAAACATAGTCATGCTCAAATTCAGCTCTACTGAACTATGTTATAGGTGGGCAGGTGTACATGTCATTGATTGCTTTACAAGGAACACCTGTGCGCATGCTTATTCTTGCATTTATTCAATCGACCAATCACATGGCAATACAATCCTGTAAATACGTCAAGAGTTTCTGTTAATGTTCACATCCAACAGAAAGGGGGGGAAACGCCATTACAACAGCTTTAACTGTGGCATGATCTGTGGTCGCAGATCAAGGGCTATGGGCTGGTTTGACTATTTCTAAATCTATTAATCTCAATGTACAACAGTCTCTAGACTTTAGAATAGTGAAAAATCTAAAATCATTGAGCAGCAGTTCTCAGAAGTGAGTCACTGGCTAGAGCTGACAAAACAGCTCTAGTTAATCAGATAACCAGTCCTTTCAGTAGTGCTGAGCTGATAAGTATCTCAGACTGAACATGTCCAGCCTTGAGCTGGATGGGCTACAACAGCAGGAAATCACTGTGGGTTACATTTATTTCAGCCAAAAACCGACATCTTAGGCTACAATGGCACAGGCTCTCCAGAGTTGGACAGTTTTTGACTGAGAAAATCTGGCCTGATTTGATGAATCAGGACTTCTGCTGAGGCTACATATGGTAGGTCAAAATCAGAAGCATGAATTCAGGAACCTAACCTGCCCTGTGTCAACAGTTCAGGCTTCTGTGACCAGCAGTGACAGGATATATGACTCATAACGGGGACAGGTAAAGCCAAAAACAGGGATTACTTGGCAAAATTTGAGTACACTGAAGATAGTCCAAGGCTCAATGTTAGGTATTAAAAATCACAAGGTTAAGAATGGCTGGAATTCTTGACATAAGGTAGTAAGACGAACTAGAACTAGGTAAAAGGGAACACAGTATCGTATTGGAACACATAGGATGTTTTCCAATACTCACACTACCACCCTGTTTAGAACTGCAGAAGAAGATTTATTATCTCCCAATAAACAGTATGTTAAATGCAGTGTGCCAAAAGTAGCAGGATTCCCTAGTATATCTGGCTGCATCATGGAGCTTGCAAGCCTGCATGCTTTTCTGGCCATTCTAACCCACAATCCTCTGCACAGCAAGGGATAGATGCATTACAATGGTCAAACCTAAAGTTGCAATATTGTGACAAAGCAGAATGTCCAACTGTATGTATAACGCATGCAACAGTATGTACCCTGAAAGGGCAGCTGTGTTACATACTAAAAAGGAAAAGATATGCAATTTGGAGTGCACAGACAAAGAGGGCAGGAGAAACTAGTTACAGCACTGCAGGGATCACAGAAGCATGAAACACAACAAAGCATAAGTGAAGAGATCTGCAATGACACAAGAGGTGAGCAACAAAAATGCAAATAAAGAAAAACAGTTTGGGGATGTGATGGAACAGGATATTTGCAGCATGAATGTGCAGCTGACATGTATGTACAAATCATATGATCTTGTGGAATTTCTACCATGAAATATATAGGTTTTAGTGAGAGCAAGGAGAAGCCTTACCCCGTATTAGTATAATGTTCTTAATGAAGTGCTCAATTTGTATAAAAATGCTATGTTTAGCATACTGGCAGTAAAGAGGAGGAGTTTACGATCTTATATTTTAAAGGTATAACAATATCACATTCAGCTTTAACATACAAAATAACAAAGAAAAGCTTCAGCATGCAAAAGGTTTTGGCTGCAGAAATGAAAGATTTAAGGAGAAGAAATGACAAACAGGTATGACTGTTAATCAAACATGTTCCAGTCCAAGAAGAAGATAGAAGAAGAAATAGACATACTGTAAAAGCTGGCCATTACATAGTTTTGGCAGCGATCACCAGTAAATTCATTTGGACACCTGGGTAGGAAACACAAGAAGTAGAAAAGAAGAGAGAGGGAGTTATTTTATACAGGAGCTGTGCAAAGCCCACAACAGTCATCACTGGTGTTAGGAGGGAGGGCCAGCAATACCAGTATGTCCAGCTCTAGTCTGTGACTCTAATCTTCAATTAATGATTTATTGCTTTCATACATAAATTGGTTTGTCATATAATTTCTAAATGAGAAATTCTTATTCATAATGTTACTTTAGGGGTTATATGACAAACAGTTGTGTGAATACTCTCTTTGCAACAGACTGAAATTTGCATGTACCTACATGGCCACTTAGGATAAGTACTTTGCCTGTTATGTAATCCTGTATTTGGGGTATCATAATCCCACTTTAAAATCAACATACAGGCCCAGATGTATGGCAGATATATAACATGTCAAACAAAGAGACTTGAGGACTTAAAAAGTAAAAATGTTTTGTAATGATTGAGTTTTGACTTGAAACATCGGAATCATTGCTGTCTCACCAACCACATGGCTGTTAGTTTAACCTGGACCACTAAAATCAACTTCTGGTGTTACTGGAATGTTCTCATATGTTTTGATTTCTGGGGGGATGAGGATGAAGCTGAATGGAAATCAAAGTAGGTAGTACGTCTTACCTCCAGATAAGATACAGCACCTATACCTGAAGTGACCGTAGTTCACTGTTCTGAACAACATGGATGGGTTGTGATGAGATGTGAAGTACATGCAAAATTCAGCGCACTACTCAGCAAAGGAGAGTGCTTGGGTGTTTAAACCCTGTTTCACTTTGCTCCACTTGAGCTTACAAAAATAGAGATACGCCTTATCAAGGTAAACATGGATTCCCAACCACTTCTTGAAGAAAACATGAGAGGGGTGAAACACCAGCAATGACATGTGGGACTGAATACAGTTGTGTTCACATACGTTTTGGGTCTGAGACTTTCTTAAGCACAGCTTGTTCACATCGGTGCCCAGTGAATCCCCGCAAGCACCTGGTTGGTGGGTAGAAAGGAAAAGAGAAACACAGCACCTACTTGTTACATACAAGACATGACCACATATGAGGTGTTAAAAAAGAAACAGGGGACACTGGTTGCTGATTCAGCAGACACACAGTCGTGAAGGTCATCATAGTGTTGCCCAGCATCTCAGCACTGTATGAAAGAAGCAACACTTCAACTGACCTACTGTCTTTCTTTTCACAGGTGGGTTTCCAGCTCCAGCCGAGTGCCATCTGTCACAGAATGGAGCTTGAGCAAAGGACTAACATCTAGTTCTTGGCTAACTTGGAAAAAGCTCCAGCAGAAAACCCTTACCATGGTGAAGGATGTGTGAGAGGAGCAACAACGTCCTGTACATGTTCCTATGAGTGGCACGAAAGCTTCAGAATGGGGCAGGGTTTCTGCTGGAGCTTTTTCCAAGTTAGCCAAGAACTTGATCTTAGTCCTTTGCTCAAGGTTCATTATGTGACAGAGGGCACTCGGCTAGAGCTAGAAATCCACCTGTGACAAGAACGATAATAGATCAGTTGAACTGTTGCTTTTCTCATACAGTCCTGAGATGTTGTGCAGCACTATGATGACCTTCATTACTGCGTGACTGCTGAATTGTGTGATCCGCAACCAATGTCCTGTTTTTTTTTTTTGTTGTTGTCACACCTCATATGGACCAACACAGAGACATCCAGTGTATAGTCACAAAACATGTCATGATCCAGGGTACTACTCTATTGTCAAACAGCAACGATGACATGGGCGAATACTGGAAAATCCAATATTACAATCAGTGACAACATTTTTTAATCTCCAGCAACAATGTTACAGTTACAATATTGTCACATCCTTCATTTATCTGTGCATGGTTTACATTCACATTTAGGACCACACAGCCTTACTTTTTTCTAACCTTTCCATTTTGCAAAATATAGGACACACTAGCTCTTGCATTAGCATTGAGGTGCGGCACCAACATTGAACCATAAGGTGCAGAATTGTCCAGCATAATGAATTCCCAAACATATTGGGTTTGATATTGCAGGTATGCAATGTAAAAATATTAGAAATTCCATTTAAATTCCATAATTTTTTTCTTTTACATTTTAAATTAGGATTTGTAAATATGTTTAGTAAGTCTCTGAAACCTCAAACATGTGAGTTTAAATTAATCACATGAAGTTAAGCAAGTGGTGGATCTTCTTGGGAGAATGCAGAGTTATTATTCTCCATTAACACATTGGATGGTCCTATGCTGGGAACAGATGCTTTTGCATGGCCCAGAGTTCTTCTTAATGTTTTACACAAGCTACGCTGATTCTGTGCAATGTGGCAAACTCTCAGGAGGGGAAAATCTGCAGCAATACTCAGGTGGCTACAGAGCGCACAAGTGTCCTAACAATTTTAGTGTTGGGCCAGCTCTGACAACTCCCCTGTTCAATTTTACTTTTTTGTTGCTGGACCTGTGGAATGGCTCGGTAACTAACTCGCTGGCTCATTTGTAAGGATGTTAGCTCCATTCATTGCTGAATCAGCTAAATTAAAAAGCTTGGTCTGACTTTAACACTACATTGACCACACTGAAATGCATAGTTAGAAGAGAAAATTATCATTTCTGATTCTTCTGTTTAAAAAAATAAAATAAAAAAACAGTTGTGACATCCATGTATTGAGCAGTGCGACAGACAATCATCATCTATGGTGCTTTTAAACCTTTCCTCCCTGAAGATCCCTGGACCAGCTTGTGTCTGCAACTGCCTACTATTTTTTTGTCAAAATCACTGAAGAGGCCAAATAGTTCTTCTGTTAGTCAGATGGATTCGAGAGCATTGTGCTTCATTTCTGTTGTATCAAATTTGGTAATTGCATTTCAGAATTTTTAGAAGAGGTCCATTAACGGTGGTTACTGACTCATTGTTATGAAGCTTGAATGTCTTATTAAAGCTTTTAATTGGGGAAAAAAGTAAAAATGTCAGTTTTTCTAGGGTTTTCAAATTTCACTTGGTCCAGGTGATAGGGATTTGCTTAATTTCAAAATTATTCCTGCCTTGCTAAATGCCGTTTATTTTGACCCTACGGTTGTGAAGCTGTTATTGACTGAACTTGAGGGTGTTTTTTCAGGTGAAAACTTCAAAAATAGTTTAGGGTTTAAGAGTTTAAGACAGCCAAAAGAACACATATAGTCAAACAGTTGTGTCTCATGAATGCCAGTATTAGCTACCGGTTATCCAGACAAACCATTATTCCTGGACTGCACTGTTTGGCTAAGACTCATGTTAAATCACTATTTTCTAATCATGAAGTCATGCATCTTAGTCCCTCCCACCAGTGAGGCCACAACTTAGTTTTGTGTTTTTGCCAGTCCACAGATTGGAGGATTTACACAAGGTATGCATAAAGATCTGAAGAAGACCCCTTTTGCATGATTTGGGAGTGGCCACACAGACCCCTCACAGACGTAGTGGTGAGCACGCCTCAAATTCTGTGAGTTTGTGAGTGTATAAATGGGGACTGAACCCCTCACCCCCATGACATGAAACATCCACTTACAGTCATTCAGCAAGTAAAGTAATTCATAAGCCAATATCTATCTGTCAAGGTATTTGAAAGAATTTAAATTGGGTCAAATTTGATTTTTAAAAAATCCTATTGACCCTGAATACGTACTATTAGTGGTTCTTTTAATTTTTGACTCAAACATGTTTGAGCTTTGAAGAAGTTGT